CCTCTGGCCCACTGTGCGCTCCATGCCATCGGCAAGCCGATTCCGAACCGAACGGCGTTTCGACGCCCTGTCTCTCTCGCACCCGCACACGGGCGGCGAGGCCCCGGGAGTGCGAGAGCGCGCCCCGCCCGCTCAAGGCCCCCGCCGGTATTTGAACCCGGGCCGCCGGATTGGTGCTCGCCGCTCTGGCGGCGGCACGCGGCATCACGGAGCCGCTTCTTACGGCGGCCGCCCTTTCACGCCGCGCCGCCGCCGCGCAGTGGAGTGGAAGCTCTCCCATGGTGCCAATTAATTAATTTGTAGCGGGATGGTGATGCGCGCCGAGGAAATGAAGTGCGTGCGGCACGAGGTGCACGAGGCGGGCCGCGCGGGGGACGCGTCCGCGGCGCGGTCATGCTGGCCGTCGTGCTGGCCGTCGTGCTGGCCGTCGTGCTGGCCGTCGTGCTGGCCGTCGTGCTGGCCGTCGTGCTGGCCGTCGTGCTGGCCGTCGTGCTGGCCGTCGTGCTGGCCGTCGTGCTGGCCGTCGTGCTGGCCGTCGTGCTGGCCGTCGTGCTGGCCGTCGTGCTGGCCGTCGTGCTGGCCGTCGTGCTGGCCGTCGTGCTGGCCGTCGTGCTGGCCGTCGTGCTGGACGCCGGCGGCGGCCGCCTCGCGCTTTCGGAGGCGTCCCTGCGGCGCACCGGCGACTGGGCAGTGCTCGGCAGCACGGTAGTATCGGGCCGTCATGATTTTGTTTTGTTTCGGCGGGGGCCGTGGGGGCCGCGGGGGCCGTGGGGGCCGTGGCGCGGCGGCGGGGCTAGAGGCCGGGGCCGGCAGCGGGGGGCAGAAGAAGTAGCAGCACTGGACCGCACCGGCCGGGGCGAGGCGAGGCCGGCAGTGATTAACGACTGCGATTAATAAGGGCCGCGGCTACTCGGTCAGTGTACCAACAGCACGTGCTGATAGCTGATAGCGTGGCTAGCGTTGCCACACGGGGCCGGCCGGAGCGGGGGGGTTGGAAAAAACCACCCCGCGCCGCGGTGGCGGTGGAAGCGGCAACCTACGACGCCGCCGCCGGCGCGCCAAGGTGGTGGAGTGCCTCTTTCTGGTCGGCGACTCCGCCGTCGCCGTCCTCCGCGCGCGGCTAATGAATTGTGTGGCGACCAGGCATTAGCGCCTGCCCAATAATGACCAATGCAAGAAGTGGCGGCGGTTCGGCTCGCCCTGCTCCGACTTGGTCGGGTCGCCCCGTTCCGGCCCAAGGCGGCCCAAGGCGCCGAGGGCGGCAGAGCGGCCTCGCGGGGCGCGGCGCTGAGTCGCCCCGCCAAGGGGTTGCCGGTGATGGCGGAGTAACTGGCACCTGCAGCCTGATTCCGAGAGTGATTCTCGTCGCTCCGTCTCTCGCGCACCTTACAGGACGCCCCGTGAGTGCGAGAGAGACAGAGCGACGAAAACGACTCTCGGAATCGGTCTGCCGCGCCAGAGTGCCGGGGCGGCGGGGCGAAGGGCAGCGCTAAGCAGCCCGACCTAACGACCCGGTGGGTCGCCGTCCCCGCTCTGTCTCTCTCGCACTCATGGGGCGTCCCGTAGAGTGCGAGAGAGACAGAGCGACGACGCCCTCCGGCCCGTCCAATTGGGGCTGTAATCAGCGCGGACCGCGCACGGTGATGTCTCGATCCGGCAGCGCGGTAGCGCCACGGCAGTGGAGTGGGGCCGCGCTAGCTGCTCGAACTCGCGCGGCGCGGGGAGTTCTCGGAAACGACCTGGTCCGGCCTTGGCTTGCCCGGCGCACTGCTTGGTGCTGAGGGCGCTGGGATGGGATGGACTCGGCGGCCACGTCCAACGTCCGGCCGTCGCGCGGCTCGCGGTGGCTCGCGGCCCCGCAGCGAGCAGGAGGGAGGGAAAAGGCGGCTTGTTTGAGCGGAGCGGGAAAAAAGGAGGGCGGGCGGTGCACTGGGTGGGACGCGCCGGGACCCTGCGACAGGTGCGGCGCAGCAGACGACGCGTCGCCCCGCTCGGTCCCACTCGGTCCTCGCTCGGGTTCATACGTCAATGACGCAAGGCTTTACGCAACCTAACGGATTTTGTGAGCCCGGCAATGCAGCCTGGCTTTGTTTCTTTCGCCGTTTCCGTGACGGGCACAGTGCCTCGTCACTCCGTCTCTCTCGCTCCCCCTGCGGGATGCCCAGTGTGTGCGAGAGAGACGGCATGACGAAAGTGAGGGCTCGGTGCGAACGAGCGGCTCATGACTATTCGGAGCGGCCGGTGCGGAGGACTCTTGAAGGACCGCTTCATTCACTCATTCATTCATGCATGCATGCATTCATTTATTCATTTCATTTGCACCGCTGTTGTACTGAGGGGACACTAAATTTACACACACACGTCGTACTCGTCTCCCTCCTCTTCTGGGTGGTACAGTATGGAAGCAACAACGACTGAAAAAAGGGGATAAAAAACGGAAAGCTGTGAATTACCGAGGCAGGGAGGCGAGTCGCGTGTCGCGGGGTCCGGCACGTCTCGGGCACGCCTCGGGCACGCCTCGGGCACGGCACGCCTGAGTCTCGCGGTTGGGGAGGTGCATCGATGTGACGTCCGGTTTATTTCATCCCGTTTAGCACGTTCACTCCGAAGTGAAAGGGATGGGAAATCGCGGCAAGGAACGCCGTTCTCGTTTCGTAGTGAACGTGTTAAACTTGCCCCTGTGCATGTCTATATTTCGTTTTGTTATGTTAGGAAGTAGGTTGTCGTCGTCTTTGCTCTGAAGCGAAGACGTGCGGTGATCACGCAGGGGTCTGGCGCTCTTAGGCGACGTGCAGGCCGGACCTCGCCGTGAGAGAGAAGACGGACACGGGGTGGAGCTGGACTGGTGCACGTCGTACACGATGACGGCGACACGGCCAGACAGGGCTAGGCGGTGGTGCCACCGCTGTGGGCTGGCCGGTAGGCAGGCCGGTAGGCAGGCCGGTAGGCAGGCCGGTAGGCAGGCCGGTAGGCAGGCCGGTAGGCAGGCCGGTAGGCAGGCCGGTAGGCAGGCCGGTAGGCAGGCCGGTAGGCAGGCCGGTAGGCAGGCCGGTAGGCAGGCCGGTAGGCAGGCCGGTAGGCAGGCCGGTAGGCAGGCCGGTAGGCAGGCCGGTAGGCAGGCCGGTAGGCAGGCCGGTAGGCAGGCCGGTAGGCAGGCCGGTAGGCAGGCCCGTAGGCAGCGGTAGGCAGGCCGGTAGGCAGGCCGGTAGGCAGGCCGGTAGGCAGGCCGGTAGGCAGGCCGGTAGGCAGGCCGGTAGGCAGGCCGGTAGGCAGGCCGGTAGGCAGGCCGGTAGGCAGGCCGGTAGGCAGGCCGGTAGGCAGGCCGGTAGGCAGGCCGGTAGGCAGGCCGGTAGGCAGGCCGGTAGGCAGGCCGGTAGGCAGGCCGGTAGGCAGGCCGGTAGGCAGGCCGGTAGGCAGAAAGCAGGGCAGACCAACACCCCCGCAAGGCCGCGGCAGTGCTAAGCAGGATTGATCGCGGACATATTTCGCTTGACACGGCCAAGTGCCACATCCAGCACCGTCGCCGCCGCGCTCGCCGCGCTGTCTCGGACACGAGCGGTCCGTCGCCGACCCTTCTTTGGGCGCGCCTTTCTGCTCTCCGTGATTGTCGTGCTTTGAGTGTGCGAGTCAGACTGTGTGTGTGTGTGCGTGAGTACGCATTACACCCCGATTGCTGGCGTGTGGAGGCCGGGCTGGACTAGTGGTCGGACCTCCTCCGGTGGACTAATCTAGCCCCGGACGATCCTCGGCGTCCTCGGCGCGCTGGAGGGTGACAAACGCTTTGGTATTAGTGGGCCACGCTCCCCTCCCCTCCCCTCCCCGTCGCCGTGACCCTGCCACTTTCTGCCGTGAGCGACGTGTGGTCCATTCAGGCAGGGAAGGGCTGCCGGCAAGGCAGGCGTTGGCGCGGTGGTCCTAGGGGGACGGCCAGCTAATCGAAGGACGACGTCGACGACGTCTTTGCGGCCAAACTCTTCATTCATCGTGGTGACGTGACGTCACCGCAGGGAGGAGGAAGGAGCCTGATTGATTGTGTGTGCCGATTGCGTCGACGGCGTGCTCTTTTTCCGCCGCCGCCACTCTGCGCACCTTTGACGGCGAGGTGCTGGACGTTGTCCGCGGCCACGCCGTTTCCTCACCCTGCTCGCGCGCACCTTTGACGGCGAGGTGCTGACGGTGTCCGCGGCCACGGCTACGCGGTGTCCTGGCCGCGCCCGCGCCCACCTTTGACGGCGAGGGGCTGGATGGTGTCCGCGGCCACGCGGCACACTGGCCACGCCTGCGGCGCTGTCCGGTTCGCGCGGTCCGCGACAAGCGCAAGCGGGCCGTCCGTCTGCTTTGCAAAATGTAAAAGCTAATCCCCGGGGGCTTGTTAGAGGCGCCGGGCGGCGCTACAAATGGGCCGCATCCTTCACGTCGCTCCCTCGCGGCGCTGCTTCTGCGTCCACCGCCCGCCAGCCCCGCCAGCCCCGCCAGCCCCGCCACCATCACGGCCGCAAGGAAATATCTGATTTTTGAGCCGGTGATGTATCGCGGGGCGGGCCGGCCGGCCGTCTGGTGCCTCCGAACAGCGCTTCCGTCGCTCTGTCTCTCTCGCACCCCTTCGGGACGCCTCATGAGTGCGACAGGGACGGAGCGGCCGCCGGCCGACGGCACGGCCTACACGGAGGGATGCGGGTCAAGTCGGCGGCCGCGGCTTTGGCGGGGCTAACAAGGCCGAATCACGGCTGCCAAAGTGCCGCTGGTGTCTGTCTGTCTTTCTGACTGTCAGTCTGTTGTGGCGGCGGATAAAAAAAAAGTACACAATTTTTTTAGGGGTAAAAATTGGGAGGAATTTGTCTTGGCTGATGGCCGCGTGCGTCCCTCGCGCGGGTTTCCGCGCCACTAGAAGAAGGCGGCTCGTTTGTCCTCACCTTAGCCTCGTGCTGCTCTGTTTCGAGGAGGAAAGGGTTGTGTTGGTGAGTGCGGATTTTAACGCGTGTGTTTCCTCTTTGTTGCAGTGGTGTGCGAGGAGTGCCAGGAGTCGCGGCGCGAGGCCCAGCAGGCGGCGCTGTGCACCTACAAGCGCGCCAAGATCTTCGTGCGCCGCGTGGCGGACGAGACCAAGGTGGACTCGACGCAGGCCATGGACACGTCCGGCGACCCAGAGTTCCAGGTACGTCTGATTCCGAACAGGGCTTGGCGGCCCCGTCTCTCTCGCACTCGTGGGGCGCACAGTGGGCCAGAAGACCGGTGGAGGCGGCCAAAACTCCAGACGTGTTTCGAGCTCCCAAGTCGCTAAGAAGGTTTCGAACCGAGCGTGTGACCCCTTCAATGGATTCCTCGTTCGGAGAGCAATCCATTGGTGGGGTCACACGGTCGATTCGAGTCCCATTTAGCGACTCTGGAGCTCAAAACGCGTCTAGAGTTTTGGCCGCCTCCACCGGTCTTCTGGCCCACTGTGGGGCGGGCCGGAGGGGTGCAGAGAGACAGGGCGTGTGGACGACGACCTCGACGACGACGCCCGGACCAGCCGTCGATCAAGTCGCCTGCCTGGCCGCGGCACTGCTTGGCCACGCCGACGCTCCGGCTCCGGATTGAGTTGTTAGCGCTGCGTCGTTAAAGGATGCTGCCCTCGCCCGCCGCGCCACCCCGCCGCTCCGCCGACGCCGTTTATGAAGTCATTTTTGCGGGAACAAAGGAATTGCAATGATAGGTTACCGCGGTGGATGCGGGCCGGGCCGGGCCGGGCCGGGCCGGCTGCCTCGTTTGAGCGGCCCATAGCGCCACGGCCAAGCACGGTGAAGCCACAGCGCCCCCCGCCGGCCCGACCTGTACTTAGCTTTTAATCATTCGGCGTTAGGCCGCGCACGGCTCGGCTCGGCTTTACCCCCAATGGGGCCCAAGGGCCCCCAAGGGCCCGAATGGGCCCCAATGTGCCCCGCGGGGCTGGCCGGCTGGCTGTGCGCTTTGTGGCTGCGCTTTGCCGCGGAGGGGGTCCCGTTGCAGCCAACCTGCTGCACCAGTGCTGCACCAGCCCGGCCAATTCTGGAGAATCGGTCCGTCGCTCCGTCTCTGTCGCACCCCCACCGAACGCCGCATGAGTGCGAGAGAGAGAGAGAGAGAGAGAGAGAGAGAGAGAGAGAGAGAGAGAGAGAGAGAGAGAGAGAGAGAGAGAGAGAGAGAGAGTCCCTCGGCAAAGTGGCGGTCCTGGCTGCACCGCGCTGCACTCGCCCCGCTCGTTGCGGCAGGGGCGTCCTTGGGAGGAACCACATGAATCACCTTTGCAAATATCGGCGGCGGCCTTGTGCACCACGCTGCAAATTCTATTTAGCCACTCGACGCTGTGTTGTAGAGAGAGAGAGAGAGAGAGAGAGAGAGAGAGAGAGAGAGAGAGAGAGAGAGAGGAGCCTGTGTGAGTGAGTGTTTGTTTGGTCCAGCACGCTGGGCATCCCTCGGCCCCGCTGAGCCGTATCGGCTAATAACAGTAATTGTGATGGCATTGTTCCTGTTCCCTTCGGTTCCCTTCGGAGAGAGTGAGAGGCCCGACGCGTCGCGGCGCCCCCTCCCCTCCCTCTCCAGCCGTGACCGGGGGCCCCGTGGACCAACCAGGGCCTAAGTGAATAAAGGACCGAACCGCGCTGGCGCGTGTATGACGCTTTGTCGGTCCGATTGTGTCTGCTTGCTTGCTGTGTATTTTTCGGCAGTGTGGTTATTCTTTGTCCGCGTCGCGCCTCCGGGCTGCCCGGTGTGGCGGGACGCGGCGGGACGTGTGGAACTGGGCGGCGCATCGCGATGAGAGGCGCACACCACCACACTGTGCGGCGGCGGGGCGGCGGGGCGCACACCGGTGCGTGGCGCGGCGATCGCCCCGGAGGTGCCCGAAGGCCGAAACGGTTTATCGGGCCGGGCCATCGCCCAGGAGTGTGCCGCCCGGCCGCTGCGCGCGCGCGCCTGTTTGTGTGACTGTGTGGGTGCGTGCGCGTGCGTCCCCGCCCCGCCCCTGCCCCCCGGCCACGGCCACTGTCGCGCCCCTGCCGGTCCGTCCCTTCGGTCCGGTCGGTCCGATGTCAGGTGCCGCCACATCGGTGGGTGTTGATTTGTGGCGCATCGGTAGCATTCACCTGTCCGGCAGACTGATTCCGAGGAGTCGTTTTCGTCGCTCTGTCTCTCTCGCACTCGTGGGGCGTCCCGTATGGGTGCGAGAGAGACAGAGCGACGAGGGCGACGCTTGGACTCAGTCTGCAGCCGCCGCCTCGACTCGACCTGGCCGAGGGGGTAACCACTCGCGTAATACCCTGTACACGACAACTGTGTATTAATGCGTAATACACGTGATCGTAATACCATTTGTGGGTCACATGTGTCAAATTTTGGCATTTTAAGGTCGTAATACATGTGTAATACACCCGTAATACAGCGTAATACCGAGTAGTCTGTACACGATTTCTTGAAGTGTTTACCCCCTCGGACCTGGCACGCTTTACTTTTGACTTTGCTGCAAGCAAGCAGGTTTGGAAGTGCTGCAAACTTTGTCGTGCATCCTCTGCGTGGCGTTTTGAATGACTGAAGGCCGGGGCCGTTTTTGGCATCGCGTTCCCATGGTCGTGGCTTGGCGGCGCGGCGGCATGTGTGGCGGAGTGGTGGGCGCACCGGCCCGGCCCGGCCCGGCCGGGTGGTGGCGCCCCGAGCCCCAGGGCGCTGCTGGCGCTGCCAAGCCTGCCAAGCACGACGCGACGCGCATCGCGGCGGCGGCATCTTGCACGTCGATCCGGGGGGAGGGGGGGGCGACTTCTTTCGCCGATGCACTGCATGGGCCCGCCAGGCTGCGCCAGGCTGCGCGGCCGCCGTTCCCACGCACGCCGAGAGAGGGTTGCACACGCTGTTTGCGAATGCCGCTCCTCTGTCTCTCTCGCGTCCTTCAAGAGGCCCGCCGCCTCTGTGAGTGCGAGCGAGACGGAGCGGCGAAAGCGCGGTTCGGAATGAACCTGCCGGGGCGGAGGGAAGGGGGGCGGGCTCAAAGCGGCGTCAGGAGTTGCACGCGGTAAATACAGGGGGCAGCAGTGTGTCAGCGGCGCGCCGCGGGCGACGGGGGCGTGGTGGGCGTGGCGGGCGGGGTGCGGCGGGGCGGGGCGGGGGCAGTCCGGTGCTCCAAATGAATATTTACATTGGCCGATATGTCGTCCCGATACCTGCCGCGGACTGCCGGCCCGGTCGTAATGCCGCGTTACGCCTTTTGAGAGCCTTGGCGAGCTTGGCGCTCCGGGGCGAGGCGAACCTCATGCACAGCCGACGCGGTCAGCGGCAGGTTCACTCCGAACAGTGCTTTCGTCGCCCTGTCTGTCTCGCACTCATGGGGTGCGCCTTAGGGGTGCGAGAGAGACATGGAGAAGGGGGCTGGCGGAGTGCTCGCTCGGTGGCGCCGCCGTACGGCTTTAGCGACGATATTGCACTGCACAGGATAACAGCGTGGTCCACCGCCGCGCAGCGCATGCTTGATCGACTGGCTTCCTTCAGACTTCCCTCAGACTTCCCTCCGACTACCCTCCGACTACCCTCAGACTACCCTCAGACTACCCTCAGACTACCCTCAGACTTCCCTCAGACTTCCCTCAGACTTCCCTCTGGCTTCCCTCAGACTTCCCTCAGACTTCCCTCAGACCCCTCAGACTTCCCTCAGACTTCCCTCAGATTTCTCTCAGACTTCCCTCAGACTTCCCTCAGGCTTTCCTCAGACTTCCCTCAGGCTTCCCTCAGGCTTCCCTCAGGCTTCCCTCAGGCTTCCCTCAGGCTTCCCTCAGGCTTCCCTCAGGCTTCCCTCAGGCTTCCCTCAGGCTTCCCTCAGGCTTCCCTCAGGCTTCCCTCAGGCTTCCCTCAGGCTTCCCTCAGGCTTCCCTCAGGCTTCCCTCAGGCTTCCCTCAGGCTTCCCTCAGGCTTCCCTCAGGCTTCCCTCTGGCTTCCCTCTGGCTTCCCTCTGGCTTCCCTCTGGCTTCCCTCTGGCTTCCCTCAGACTTCCCTCAGACTTCCCTCAGACTTCTCTCAGACTTCCCTCAGACTTCCCTCAGACTTCCCTCAGACTTCCTTTAGGCTTCCTTCAAGCTTCCTTCAGGCTTACCTCAGACTTCCCTCAGACTTCCCTCAAGCTTCCTTCAAGCTTCCCTCAGGCATTCAAGGTGTCCAAGCTAGGCCTTGCCCCCGCCGCCTGAGTCCTGAGTCATTGCCTGCTCCCCAGCCGAAGGCAAGCGGCAAGCCGCGGCAGGCAGCCGAACGATTCAGAAGAGTCGTTTTCGTCGCTCTGTCCCTCTCGCACTCATGGGGCTCTCCGTAAGTGTGCGAGAGAGACAGAACGACGAACCGATCTTCTGGATCGCTGGGCGGCAAGGCACGGTGAAGCAGCTCCCGCCGATTAGCCGTGGGCTGATTGGACTGATTTATCGCGCCAAATGATGCGCCCCCATCGACTGGCTATCGGACTGGCTATCGGCCCCGATCCGAGCGAGCGGCCAGCGATCGCCAGAGCCGAATCGGAGCCGAACGGAACGGACCGACTCGTCCGAACCGTCGACCCGAACCGAGTCGGTATGCGTGTGCATGCTTATTAGCGCGGCAGCCTAATAGGTCCGCGTCAACCACCGAGCAGCCGCCGAGCAGTGGCAAGTCGATCCACTCGGGCCACTTCACGCCGCCAAAGCCCCGTGTGCCCCGCGTCAGCTAGCGTCAGCGTGCCATGGAGCCTTGCTCGAGGCTCTCGCAAAGAGACTGTTTGGTTAATTTTTAATTTTGATAAATGTCACCCGAGTTGGCCTAATGTTTTAATTTTAGATTTTGAGGAATTTTACCCGCGTGTTGTCTCACTGTTTTAATTTTTCAATTTTGAGGAAGTTTACCTGCGTTGTCTTGATGCTGATCCTTTTTAATTGTGAGAAATTTTACCTGCGTTTGTCTCAATGTTCTCTATTTTACCCAAGTTTACCCAAGTTTACCTAAGTTGTTTGCACGCTTTTGAAGTTGGGCCTCTGGTTTTAACGCTGCCTTTCCTCCCCGCAGGTGCAGTCGTCGGCGCAGACGGCGGCCGCGCTGTCGCCCTCCAGCGACTACTCGATCCGGCGCAGCGCGCGCTCCAGGAAGCCTCGCGGGGACAAGGAGCTGACGGTGTCGTCGGAGCAGACGCTGCTGGAGCTCAAGGTGGAGGTGAGTACGGTGTCTTGTGTGCGCCCCTCGGACGCACGCCCGGAGTGTTTGCCTAGTTGATGACCAATTACCAGTGTGGGCTGTGCCTGGGCTGTGCCCCACCGAGCCTACCGGCGGCTGGGCTGGGATCTGCGCGCTTCACGTCGACACCGGGAAGGGTAATAACGGTTCGGGAGGTGTTGTCTTAATTGTGAGTCTATTATCCATCCGGAGCGCCAAGGGGTGCGGCGTGGCCACTGCCGCGGCGCGCGCGGCGCCACCGGTCGAGGCGAGGCGGGCGAGGCCAACTGGACCGTGATAAACGACTCTCCGCGGAGTGGGCCAGGGTGGCTGCCCAAACTCGAGACGCGTTTTGAGCTCCAGAGTCGCTAAATAGGACTCGAACCGAACGTGTGACCCCACCAATGGACTCCTCGTTCAAAGAGCATTCCATTGGTGGGGCCACACGTTCGGTTCGAGTTCCGTTCAGCGACTCTGGAGCTCATAACGCGTCTAGAATTTTGGCCGCCTCCACCGGTCTTCTTGCCCACTGTGGTCCGATACCAGGGTGCCCCGCTGCGAGTGCGCGTGTCAAGCTGCCCGTCTTACTTCAATCCTTTTCTTGTGGCGCGGGGCGCTATCGTGTCTGCCTGGGTTTCACGCGTCCCTAACAGTGGTTCACCCCTAACAGTGGTTCACCCTCGCGGCGCCGCGCTCCGCCGCCGCGGAGGGGAGCGGAGCCCTGGCCGGGCCTGCTGGACGACGATGACGGCGTCGTTAGGCTATCGTTAAACGTGGCGGCAGAAGTGGGTAATGGGCATCTAGCCGCGTGGCGTGCCAGCTGCCGAGCCCCGCAGCTGCAGCGGTCCGAGTCCGAACCGTGCGCCTCTCTCTCTCTCTCTCTCTCTCTCTCTCTCTCTCTCTCTCTCTCTCTCTCTCTCTCTCTCTCTCGCCCGAGGGGCGTCCCGTAAGGGTGCGAGGGGGACAGAGCGACGGAAGCGCGGTCCGATTCGGACTTGGCGCCGAGGGGCGTCGGCGTCGCGGTCGGCATGGCGTGCTCCGCGATCGTTGACGGCAAGGGTTGACGCTGACGGTCTCATTTCGGGGGGCAGGCCGACTCAAAAGGCCCAGGCGCCGCTAGGCGCGTGGTCTCGCCGATCCTTGATTTTCCTTCGGGGAAGCTCGGCGTCGAACGGCGCGGTTCCGAGACCGACGCGGCGGTCGTTGAATGTTGGTTGCACAAAGAGTGGCGAGCGAACGGGCAAGGTCCGAGGCAAGGGCTGGCCACGGAACGGCGCCGCGCGCGGCTGCAGTGCAGAGAGAGCGTTATTGGCAGGTACGCGCTGCAGTGTGGTGCGCGGACCGCGCGGCCTGCGACGCCGCCAAGCCGCAGACTGATTCCGAGAGTCGTTTTCGTCGCTCTGGCTCGCTCGCACCTCGACGTCGCGTGCGTGCGACAGAGACAGGGCGACGTCGACGCCTCCCGGAACCGCTCCGCGGAGGGGAACCGACCGGCGCGGCGTCCGCGGCCACAATGCCTCGTACGGCGTCTGCGCTGCTATTAGACGCGCACGGGGCTCGTGTGGTCCATCGGCAGCCCCGGCACGCCGCGGCCCGCCAGGGCCCGCCAGGTCCCGCGCACCCTGGGCGTGAGAACGGAACGCGAACGGACGGACGGCCATCTCGACGCTGGCCAAATCCTCACACACACACGCGCACGCACACGCACACACACACACACACACACACACACCAGCACACTCTGACGCGCCGCTCCCAATCACTGCAAAGTGGTGCCGAGACGGGCGGTGGCGGCATGGCGGCGCAGATCTCGGCCGGACCGCGGCGAGGACCCAGGACCCCGCCAGCACCCCGAGGACCGCCTCGGCCTCTACACTGATTAACGGCCACTATTAGTTATTGCATGCAAATGGGCAAGCCGGACCGGGCCGGACTGGACGGGGTCGGTGCCGCGTGGTCAGCCCGGCCCTGGCGCGCTTCTGGAAATGGGCTCTTGGGGGTCTTGGAGGACGGGGAGGTCCTCGAATCGCTGCGGGCTGCGGCGTTCTCTGTCTCTCTCGCACTCGTGGGGCGTGCCGTAGGGGAGCGAGAGAGACAGGGCGACGAAACACCGCCGGCCGGGAAGGGCCCCGTGTTATCTGCGGTCCTCGCCGCCACGGGTTGGAAGGCCAATTGGCTCCTTTTACCCTTTTACGGACCCCTGGCCACCGCGCGGAGGGACACGCGTGCCCGCCCCGCCCCGCCCCGCCCCGCCCCTCGCCGCGCCGCTCGGACACAAAGAAAAGTGTGTGTTGAAAGTATTTAGGAAGGGTTGATAGCGGCTCTGCCGGTGGCGGCCGGTGGCCCTGCTGACCCACCCTTGACCCGTGACATCCCCTGCCGGAGGCGCAGGCCCCTCCCCTCCCCTCCTTGGCGAGGGTAAATGTCCCGCACGTAATCCGACGGGCCGTGCCCTGCCGTGCCGTGCCGTGCCGTGCCGTGCACCCCGCTACCTTGGTTGTTCCTTCTGTCCGGCCGGGTCTGAGAGGTCCGAGACACGGCGGGGGCGGCCGCTCCGGGGTCGTGGGACTGTTTTAGCGGCTTAAGACGAGGCCCGCTCTGCGCTTGGTTGTCGACGAGGTGGACCTCCTCTTCGGGTTTGACTGCGACGCTCCGCTGAAAGTGTCCACGCAGGAGGTGCGCGAAGCGGAGGCAGCGAAAAAGCAGCGACCGCCCGACGGCCGAGTGGGTGCCCTGCGCAGTGCCCTGCTGGCCCTGCTGCTCCAACTGCTACTCGGAGCCCGCGGCAAGATTTATCCTAGGACTGTGTATTGATAAGAAAACGGTTCAAGATAGCCGTGGTCGCGGCTGGACAGTGGCCAACGCGGGGGTGGCCGTCGTCCGGCAAGGCACCCGACCGGACCCGACCGGACCGGACCACTCTGCTTAATTATTAATAGGCGGCTAGGCTGGCGCGCTAATGAAATCTATGCCATCATAGGCGACTGGACAACATTACACGATAAGGCTAGAGAGAGAGAGAGAGAGAGAGAGAGAGAGAGAGAGAGAGAGAGAGAGAGAGAGAGAGAGAGAGAGAGAGAGAGAGAGAGAGAGAGAGAGAGAAACTGAGATAGCCGCAGCGCGCGGGTCCGGCCGGCTTGACCGCAGCGCAGCAGTGCTGCTGGCTGTGGCGGTTTTTCAAGTGCGTGCGATTCAGCGGGTTTCTGTAGCACTAGTCGACTGCTAAACTTGTGGTTTCGAGAACTTTGATTCGATTTTTTTTGCCGGTTGTTGCAGATTTACAAGCACTTCCAGGTGGCGCCCTACGACCAGCACCTGACCCTGGACAACCGGCCGCTGGAGGGCCCCGAGAACACCCTCGGCTCCCTCAACGTGTACCCCAGATCCGTCCTGCTGCTGCGGGTAAGTGTCGCCGCCTCGCCTTGGCCGCGGCGTCGTGGATGTGGCCCGTTTTTGTTTTTGCTCTTGTTTTTCTGGTTGTTGTTGTTGTTGCTCGTGATGGGCAGCGCGGCACTCTTTCGCCACCTTCCCGCCGCCTCGCCTCAGCGACCGCGCAAAGAGTGCGTCCAGCGGGCCGGCCGGCCGATCGCAAATGATGCTTTCGGCGCTCCTTCTCCCTCGCACTCACAGTGCCGCGCCCCCGTGCGGGTGCGAGGGAGACGGACCGACCTGTTCGGAATCAGCCTGCAGTGGGCCCCCGGGCCCCCGAGGGGTACTGAACGCTACGCCCTGCTACGGTACCCGGGCGGACGGGGGCTCGGACTCCGGGACGCGAGGCGAGGCCCCGGCAGGGCCCCGGGGCAGAGGAGGGGCTGCAGGAGCCTTGAGAGGACTGGGACGAAGGGTCTGCTGAGCCGACGCCGACCCGCCGACGCCGACCCGCCGACGCCGACCCGCCGACACCTATCCGGCGCGTTTAAAAAAGGGCTCGAAAGCAAAAAGGCGTTTGGGTGTGTCGGCGGCTTTCGGATTGGCGTCACCGCGGCACCCACCGCCTTGCCCACCGCGGCCCGCTGCCGGCATTTCCAATTTGTGGTTAGTTCGTCGCCCCGCCGCGCGCCGCGCTGCCGTCGCCGCGTTCCGTTCGCGCCGCGTCATGGCGTCGTCGTCGTCGCCCCGCGACGCGCCGCGACGCCCCGAAGTGCAGCGTCATGGCCGGCGATCAGGTGTGATCGGGGAATCGGATCGAATCGAATCGAACGCGCTGGAATGGGACGGCCAGGCGGCCCGACGGGCTGCTTCTAGGACGGCGGGGCGTTTCTGCCGCGGGACGGGAGGTTCAGTGACTGGTGCGGTGGGAACCTCGGGGCGTACTGCCACCACGGGGCTCCGCGTCACCAGGGCCTGGAGCTGGAAGGCCATGGTCGAGCCGAACCCGCAGCCGCAGCGCCCAACGCGCGGTCCATTCACAAGAAGGCCCGGTAGGCCGCGCTGGAGGACGACTGGACACTCGCTGGAAGTCGCGCCTTTACTCGTTCCAGTTCATTCTTTTGCTCTCTTTATCCCTAGCCGCTCGCGCACCCATTTTATTGGCCATTGCCGCAGCACGCTGTTGCTGTTGCTGCCGTTGCGGGCGAAGACCGCCCTCAGGTTTTTTTTGTCGCACCGCTCAAAAGTGTCATTGCGCCGCCGAGGTTCGAACCCGGCTGCCGCTGCCGCGCGGGGCAATTTCTCCATCCATCGGTGCGCTGCTGCTACACTGCTATGGGTGCTACTGTGCGGCGCGTTGTGACGGGCGGCGAGGCCCCGTTAGGGCGGTAGGCGGTACCACCCAGTGTAGGCGGTACCACCCAGTGTACCACCCCGGCCTGCTCGCTGCGCGCGGCGCGGCGCCCCTTTTTTGCTCCTTTCCCAAATTGCCCTTTCTCTAGTCGGACACGCTGAAGGTAATGAATGCCAGATTTTTCATGTTTATCGACTTTCCGCGCGGTAATGAAGATGAAGGCACCGAGGCACCTGTGGCGCCGCGCTGCTGCGCTGCGCTCTCCCCGGCCTCGCAGTGCACCGCCGCACTGCCTCGCCGACGCACCGGGAGCCGTCGCGGGGGTACCCGCCGTACGCGCCGCCCGGCGGCCAGCCCGGCAGCCAGCCAGCCCGATGGATAATGAAGCCATTGTTGCAGCTTGCAGCGAGCTAAGTGGCTGGCTGCTCCGGCTGGCCGGCTGGCCGTGCGTGCGTGTGTTTGCTCCGCTCATTACGCGTCGATAAATTTAAAATTCCGCGCGCCAATTTGGCCCCGTTTGGCCCGCTGGGGGCGTGGCGGCGTGGCGGCCCGCGTGTCCTGTCACATGTTTGCTGCTTGCTGCTCCTCGAGAAGAGTGCCGTGCCCGAGGTGGAGGGGAGGGGGAGAGTGCGCCGGGCTGCGTGACGCGGTGCGCCGCGACCTGCGCCGCCCCGCGCGCAGTTTTATGGCCCTGGTTGCCGCTCGACGGCGAGCTCATTGTTTTCTGGATATGCATTACTCGGAGCAGGGCGCCCGCCCCGCCCCGCCCCGCCCCGTCCTGGCCGAGCGCCACCGCCCCTCCCGGAGTCGGCCGGCCGGTCGGCTTCGTCGTGTTGGCTCGGCTGCTTGCTCTGCCTTTGGGAAAATTTGGTCCGGGAGCAGCCGCAGTGGTGGTTTGTCGGCGAGGTGCATTTGCGCCCCGCGGCGCCCTGCTGCCCGGGGCGGGGCGCCAGTGTGGTGGCTTGCCCCGCGTTTAGGCATATTGGCGGGGCGCCATGATTTATCGAGGTGGGCCACGCTGGACGGTCCTGGACCACGCTCCGCCACGCCCCGCCACGCCCCGCCACGCCCCGCCACGCCCCCCGGGGACATGCAGGTGCAGGCGGCCCCTTCCACGCGGGGCCACGCGGGGCGCAGGCCAGGGCCCTGGCCGCTGTCGGCCGCGCTGTCGGCCCGCAGCCCCACGGGGCCACGGGGCCTCGAGATCACAATCGCGGAGTGCCTCCGTTCGGCGGGATATTCAGTGTGCCCGAGTCAGGCCGCACAGCGGTGGAGGCGGCCGAAATTCTAGACGCGTTTTGAGCTCCAGAGTCTCTGAATGGGACTAGAGCTAAACGTGTGACCACACCAACAGATTGCTCTCCGAACGAGGAATCCATTTGTGGGTTCGCACGCTCGGTTCGAGTCCTGTTTAGCGGTTCGAGTTGGGCTTTCGCTGTCAAGTGGTGCATCTTCCCAGCGTCGGCGTGTCGGTTGTGGGCAGGCCTGTTTGGCAGTGTGCTGGCAGGGGCTAGGGGCGAGGCGGGTGGGCAGTACACGCGGAGCGCGGAGGGCTGGCGTATTTTTTCCCGCGCCCTTCCGGAAAGGGTGATTCGCCTCTCGCTCGCCGCGGCGGCCAAGCAGGCCATGCAGCTGACGCTCTCCCGGTCTGTCTCGTCCGGCCTCTGGTCCCTGCCGGTCCCCGCTGGCTCCCTCGGCCTCGGCCAGCTGACCCCACCGAAACGGACGCGTCGAGTCACACCTTGCACCCCGCGTCACGCACGCACACTGTCACACTCACACACAGACACACACTCACACACAGACACACACACACCCAGTCACACATGCGCTCGCACACAGTGCGACGCGTTCTTTCCTTGGCCCCGGCGCCGGCTGCTTTACTATGTTATGAGCTGGAGAGTCTGCTCATAAAAAGCCGGAAAGCGATTCGTCTTCTTCAAAAGTTCTCGCTCGCTCCTCCCTTCCTGTGCGGCGCGGGCATGGAGAAAGAGAGAGAGAGGGGGGGGGGTGCGCGAAGGAGCCGGGCAGGGTGTAATGAATGTTGCATTGCACTGCGCGAGGGGAAGCAGCGGGGCCCTCTAGGCCCGCGGAGGTTAAAGACGTGCCCAGGCGGGCCGAGGCGCAGCCCGGAATCGCCACCGCATCGCCCTGCTGTTTGCCAGTGTGGTGTTGGGATCGCCGGACCCGAGGCCGGACCCGACAGGCTTGTCGGAAGCGGGCCGGCCGGGCGGGGCCGGGGGGCTCTGTGGACGTCGCCAAGGGCTGTTGTATCGCGAGGGCGTGTTTGCCGACGTCCGTCCGTCTGGCCGCGGTCCAGCCGCCTCGTCTCGCTGCCCTTCAAGACGCCGGCGACGACCACGCCGTCGCTGCGGCGCGCTATGCGGCCAGCAGACCGGGCCTCCTCGTGCACCTCGCCCCGCCGGCCGGAATTTAACGGCGGTACCCGTTCAAACACCCATTTGTTTCCATTTTTTCCTTCGAGCAGCGCGCCGCGCTCGCCGGCTGCACCAGGCCGGGGCCGCGCCGTGCTGGCCGCCTCGGTGATGGCCATGTAGATGGGGCTATTTCAATTTGGCCGCCGCCGCGGTCGGCCCCGCCGGGTCCCGGTGGGGCCAGTGGCTAGCGGTGCCAGCCTTGGTGCCAGCGCGGCCCAGAGGTCCAGCGGCCCAGCGGCCATCCTGGCGGGGCTGGCGCCGCGGTCCGGGCCGCCCTAATGACCCCATGCAGCCTCCCCCGCACGGGGCGGGGCGGGGCGGGGCGGCTCGCTGGTCCAGCACAGCTAATTACCCGCTACCGGGCTCATTACCACCGCACTGGCTGGCCGCTCTGGCCGCTGCCTGCCTGCTCGGTCTGGGCCCCACGGCTGGCCGGCCGGACGTACTAGTAAGCTGGCGGTCGGTGACGCCGCTGCCGCCGTGCCGTGCAGCAGCAGCCTGAGTCCGAGAGTCGCTTTCATCGCTCTGTCTCTACCGCACCTGTACGGAACGCCCCGTGAGTGCGAGAGAGACAGAGCGACGAAAACGACTCTCGGAATCAGGCTGCTGGCCGGGACTTTATCGTCCAGCCGCAGCCTCCGTGCAATGCCTCCGAGGAGGGAAAGAAATTATCGTCGTTAGCGCGGTCCAGATTGCTAGTTTTGAATTTAGCGCGCCAGCCGCGGCCAGCCCATTCCTTTGTTTTGGCCGCGAGACGGACGACGCACGCCTCCAGGACGCGAAACGGCGGCCGGCCGATGATCCGGCCAGAGAGGCCATTTGGCGCGAGTTTTCCATCAGGAAACAACCGAGGCGAGATAAGCAGGGAGAAACAATAAACGAACTGGCGGAACGGGAGCGGCGCCCCGCCCCGGCCCGCCCCGCCCCGCCCCGCCCCGCCCTGCGTGTCGCTGGAGCGGCTGGAGCACCTTCGGCCGGAGAGCGGCGTCTGGCAGCAGCAGAAGAGGAGCCGGCCGCAGGGCAGCAGGAGTACCACTCGTAAAACTTAATTCAAAAGCGCTGATGGAAAAGGGAAATATGAATATCCAGAGGCAGTGCCGTCTGGGCGGCCGGGCGGGCAGGGCCCTCGGCAGGGCCGGCATGGCGGGCAGGTGAGGCGTCTGGGTCGGTGCCTGCCCCCAAGGACTGCCCCGGAGGACTTGGCCGCCCGAACCCGCCCCAACCCTTTGCCGGGTGCCGCGGTGCCGCGTCCTTGTGACCCCGGACGCCATTTGGACGCCCAAGGTGTGGCCCTTTGGACGCCCAAGGTGTGTGGCGGCACCAAGAATGAGAGCAGACGAGCGAATGTCGGAAATTCAAATTTGGCCGCCCGGGTGGCTCGGCGACGCACTACCGGGTTGAGCCCTGCGGGCCCTGCGCCTTGCTGGCTCGGCTCGGGACTTTAACGAGGCGGGGTGAAGGGTGGCGAGGACGGCGATGCCCATTGTGTGTTTTGAGGCGATAAATTAGCGCGGCACGTCAAAAAGAGAGGCGCGCGCTTGGGCGCGCGCCGCTCATAGTGGCTGCTGTTGCGCGGAACTAAGTTTTGCCTGCCGAAATAAATAATGGCGCGTTCCACACGGCTCCTCGGCGCGCGTGGGTGTGTGTGTGTGCGTGCGTGCGTGCGTGCGTGTGTGTGTGTGGGACACAATCGTAATTACTTGCGAATCGTAGGGACGCTGGAGGACACGGCGACGACGTCCCCCAGGGACGGGGGTTGCTTGGCTGGCTGGCTGTGCGCGCCGCATTCTTCGCGACGGAACGGAACGCTTGCCGCCGCCGTCTTCCGGAACCGCAGCGGCGGGCCTCTCTCTCTCTCTCTCTCTCTCTCTCGCTCTCGCTCGCTCTCCCTCTCTCGCTCTCTCTCGCTCTCTCTCTCTCTCTCTCTCTCTCTCTCTCTCTCTCTCTCTCTCTCTCTCTCTCTCTTTCTCGGAGTAGAGCGTGATAAATAATTTTGGAAGCGGGCGGCGCAGGGCGGCGCGCCGCGGGGCAAGGAAAGCAGCAGGTTGATGCCGAACTGTAACAGTGCTTCCTTGGCGCTGCCGTCGCTGAGGTGAGGTGTCTTTCCCGTACTCGTGGGGCGTTCCGTCGGGGTGCGAGAGATACAGAGCGACGACACGGCTCTGTTCGGAGTCATACTACACAGAATCACGCGTCTTGCCCAAGCTTTCTAGTCTGCACTCCAATACTCTGAACAAGGCCCCTCGTCCGTTCTGTCTCCCTCGCACGCGGACGCGCGACGCGGCGCCTTCGTGAGTGCGAGAGAGAGAGAGAGAGAGAGAGAGAGAGAGAGAGAGAGAGAGAGAGAGAGAGAGAGAGACAGACAGGTCGGTCCAGCTTGGGCCCGTTGTTCGATGTGCGTGCGTTCGGGACGTTGACAAATGCTGGGCCGTGACGCGGCGGCGGGGCGGCCCACATTTTCATAACTCTAATGAAGTGTCTCTCCAGTGCAGTGTCTCGCGTCAACCGCTCGGCGGGGCGGGGCGGCCTTTCACGCGCGCGCTCTCCGCTATACTTGCGAATAGTTTCAAGTTTTCGGGGGCGAAGTTGGCGGCGGCGGCTTTGGAGGCGGTCCTGTCCTTCCCCTCCCCTTCTCCTTCTTGACGCCCCACTCGCACCTCGCGACGCACAGTTTTCGACCGGCTCGACGAGGACGCTCGCTAACCGCACGAGTTTATGGGAAGCGTCGCGTGTGTTCTCGTTCTATCCGATGCCGAGATCGGTCTGAGAGTCTGCCGCCGTCGCACAGTGGGCCAGAAGACCGGTGGAGGCGGTCAAAATCCCGAACGCTTGATCTGCAGAGTCGCTTTAGGACTCAAATCGAACATGTGACCCCACCAATGAATTCCCCGTCCGGAGAGCAGTCCATTGGTGGGGTGACACGTTTGATTCGAGTCCCATTTAGCTCAAAAACCGTCTTGAGTTATCAATTTGGGATGAGCCCTGCTTCCACGGTCTGTGGAGGTTGTCCTCATACCCCCCAAGTAGAGGGTGGCTGCTGCGGCGGGACGCGTGCGGGTGCGGTGTCCTTGCGCTTCATCTGCTCTCGACGCTGAGGTCTGCGGCCTCGCGGTGCTGTTCCCGGTTCCTGGCTCTCGGACTGGTCGGTCGGCGCGCGGCCTCGCGGGGGTTGTTCCTTGTTCCCGCCTGTTCCTCGTGCTGCTCGGACGGCGGTTCGGCGCGCGGCCTCGCGGGGGTTGTTCCTTGTTCCCGCCTGTTCCTCGTGCTGCTCGGACGGCGGTTCGGCGCGCGGCCTCGCGGGGGTTGTTCCTTGTTCCCGCCTGTTCCTCGTGCTGCTCGGACGGCGGTTCGGCGCGCGGCCTCGCGGGGGTTGTTCCTTGTTCCCGCCTGTTCCTCGTGCTGCTCGGACGGCGGTTCGGCGCGCGGCCTCGCGGGGGTTGTTCCTTGTTCCCGCCTGTTCCTCGTGCTGCTCGGACGGCGGTTCGGCGCGCGGCCTCGCGGGGGTTGTTCCTTGTTCCCGCCTGTTCCTCGTGCTGCTCGGACGGCGGTTCGGCGCGCGGCCTCGCGGGGGTTGTTCCTTGTTCCCGCCTGTTCCTCGTGCTGCTCGGACGGCGGTTCGGCGCGCGGCCTCGCGGGGGTTGTTCCTTGTTCCCGCCTGTTCCTCGTGCTGCTCGGACGGCGGTTCGGCGCGCGGCCTCGCGGGGGTTGTTCCTTGTTCCCGCCTGTTCCTCGTGCTGCTCGGACGGCGGTTCGGCGCGCGGCCTCGCGGGGGTTGTTCCTTGTTCCCGCCTGTTCCTCGTGCTGCTCGGACGGCGGTTCGGCGCGCGGCCTCGCGGGGGTTGTTCCTTGTTCCCGCCTGTTCCTCGTGCTGCTCGGACGGCGGTTCGGCGCGCGGCCTCGCGGGGGTTGTTCCTTGTTCCCGCCTGTTCCTCGTGCTGCTCGGACGGCGGTTCGGCGCGCGGCCTCGCGGGGGTTGTTCCTTGTTCCCGCCTGTTCCTCGTGCTGCTCGGACGGCGGTTCGGCGCGCGGCCTCGCGGGGGTTGTTCCTTGTTCCCGCCTGTTCCTCGTGCTGCTCGGACGGCGGTTCGGCGCGCGGCCTCGCGGGGGTTGTTCCTTGTTCCCGCCTGTTCCTCGTGCTGCTCGGACGGCGGTTCGGCGCGCGGCCTCGCGGGGGTTGTTCCTTGTTCCCGCCTGTTCCTCGTGCTGCTCGGACGGCGGTTCGGCGCGCGGCCTCGCGGGGGTTGTTCCTTGTTCCCGCCTGTTCCTCGTGCTGCTCGGACGGCGGTTCGGCGCGCGGCCTCGCGGGGGTTGTTCCTTGTTCCCGCCTGTTCCTCGTGCTGCTCGGACGGCGGTTCGGCGCGCGGCCTCGAAATTGGCATGTCGCCACGGCGGGCAGGGCGCGGGCAGGGCGCGCCGCGGAGGGCAGCCATAAACTGGAAATGTGTGCAGAGTTAATGTGCCGTGCGCCGCCGCGCCGCCACGCCCCGCGTCATGTCGTCTCGCGGGGGCGGCGCGGGGGCGGCGCGGGGGCAGGCCACCCCGTGGCCCCGCGACGCACCACGCGCCGGGCAGGTGGGCCGCGGCCTGAAGAGTCGCCTCGTCGCTCTGTCTCTGTCGCACTCACAGTGTCTTCCGTGCGGGTGCGAGTGAGAGAGACAGAGCGACGAAACGAGTCATCGGAATCGCTTGCCAGCTGGGTCTCATTTCCGTCTTGACGGTCCAGACTAACGCCGTCTTTCTCTTGTCTCGCAGGCCGACGAGCCCTCCGAGGACGCCTCCATCATGGACGACTACATCAAGAGCTCCGCGCCGGAGGAGGGATTCAAAGGTGAGTCGCTGTGTATCACGTTGAGGCAAAAAGGGCGGGCTGCACTGGGCGGCGAAGGGAACGGCACCTGTTGCGGCGTCGTGCCGTCGACCCGGGTTCGAGTACCCGATCGGGTGTCGGTTTTTGGTGCGCGCGCTTCGTGCTGCTGGGGCCGCTGGTTGGCGTCGGCTGACCCGATGACCCCCCCCCCCCCCCCCCCCCCCGAGCCTCCGGAGGTGGTTCGGGGCGGCCGAGGCTGGCGAGCCGCTCCCCAAGGAGCAGTCAAGGGTGATGGCCGGGGCTCAACACTACAAGCACGGGGCCCATCCCGCCCTGCCCCGCCCCGCCCCGCCCAAGGACGGGGGATTAGCGCGGAGACCGACCCAGTTTGTCTTTCATCAAGGGGGTCTTTGCGACCAGACGCGTGCAAGAAGTCTTGCGGCTGCGGTGCGTCGGCAAGATTACGCGCTGCTGCTGCAGCGGTGGCGGGGCGCCGCCCTGCCCTGTGCTTGTTGTGCTGGGGGAGGTGGGGCCGGGCCGAGGAAGGACCCGTCGCACAGTGGGCCAGAAGACCGGTGGAGGCGGACCAAACTCTAGCGTTTTGAGTTCCAGAGTCGCTAAATGGGACTCGAACCGACCGTGTGACCCCCACCAATGGATTGCTCTCCGATCGAGGAATCCATTGGTTGGGTCACACGTTCGGCTCGAGTCTTGTTTAGCGACTCTGGAACTCAAAACGCGCCTAGAGTTCCGGCCGCCTCCACCGATCTTCTGGCCCACTGTGCGTCGGGGTGTCGAACCGCTCCCGGGTCCTCTCGCCGTCGCTGTGCTCCGCTCTGCCCTTTGGGTCGGCCTGGTCGGCTGGCCGCGTGGTGGTAGCGCGGTGCGACGATTAGGCAGATCGGCCCATCGATTGCCACAGATTTATAGCCGGCTGGACCTACCCGCCAGCCAGCGTCAGCCCGCCACGGATGGTTATCGCCGATCGAAAGTGAAAAGTTATGCGGCCGCTGCTGTGGCTGCTGGCCCCGCCCCGCCGTGGATATAGGCGGCGGCCCCGGGGACTCGCGCGGCGCGGCTCGCAGTGCGCGGCGGAAGTTGTCACTCTCCCACGGCCGGCCGCCGCGCCGCCGCGCCGCGGGCCTCGGGGGGCTGGTCGCGGGGCCGGTCGCGGGGCGCAGGGTGTCGCCGAGGGGCGAGGGGGTGGGGGAGGGAGGGAGAGGGCGAATGAGAAGGTCAGTGGTTAGCGCAGGAGCGAGAGAGCGAGCAGCGCGGTGTAATGGCTGCGATTACGGTGATAATAAGGTGCTGCTGCTGGCGTCCTGCACCAGGTCCTGCTGCAGGTGCCCCGGGCGGCCCGTCCGTTTTGCAAACGGCAGCGTGGGACCACAATGTGGGACTACTTGGTGGCGGCGCCGCTAATGCGCCTGGCGGGGCGGGGCGGGGCGGCAGTCTGCAGGCAGGGCGAGGCAGGGCGAGGCGGGGCCCCGCCGCCGACGCTGCTGGCTCGAGATGAGATTTATGGAAGTGGGCTCGGTGGAGGCTGTCTTTGCCAGAGGGGTGGCTGCCACGCCACGCCACGGCGGCCCGCTGGGTACGAATGGCTGATTTTGATGCTCGCGGCGCGGCCCCGCCGGCCCTGCCGGGTCAGAGTCAGGCCCCGCGCGTCAGTCCATTGTCTTAATCCGTGTTCGTTGTCGGTGTTGCAGGTACCGGGCTGCTGTCGTCGAGGTAGGCGTCCAGCCCCCCGCTCGGACTCTGGCTCCGGGTCCTCCGGGTCGTCGCGGACGTCCCTCCGGCCGGACAGCGGCGCCAACGCCTCTCCGTGCGACGCGACGCGACGCGCGCCACTCGGCGCGGAAGGGAAGGACCAGATGTCGCCAAAGTGGCAATATTTGGGCGCGGCATGTGCCCGGATGGGCCAAGGCGGCGCTGAATCGCCCGACATTGCTCTGTCCGGACCGCGCGAGGCGAAATGGACGAGACCTCCCGCTGGTTGTGGCTAGTGAAATGTGTACAGTTAGTTAGTATTGTGTTGCGTGTATATAGTGTGACAGGGTGCTGTCCCCCCCGCTATCGGCGATGTGTCTATTCTTCTACTTGACGTTTTAAGTTTTACGGAAGAGACGCAGTGTCTCGAGCAGATATTTATTTTACTTGTTAAAGTTTTTTTTTTTGTTTCCGCATCATTTCTGTAGCGATACTATTGACTGTAACTTTTCGTATTAGTCAATTTCTTTAGGTTTTCGAGTATGTTTAAATCATTTTGTGTCGACTGTGACATTTTTATTCATGTATGGAAATGGGTTGGACTGATATTATTGGGGTTGGTTGTTTCACACTGGCTGTTAGGTTCGTGATGATTGTTTTTTTATTGGTTGTTCACGAATGTACTTCTTGATGTAAAAGTATTCAATTTTTATACTGTAAGTAAGGTGGAATCTCGTTACCTCTTGTCAGCTGCTCCGGTTTTGTAACAAGGTTTTAGATATTTTGAATTAAAATCTGTGCACCTTACAACTCTGAGTTCTATTTCTCCTTTTCTCACGAAATTGCACATTCTCCTCAAAAGCAGGGATCCTTAACTTACCTTATAAGGGCATCATAACGTTATCATAAGAGTTAAAGTTATTACCCTTAACTTCTAACACCTTTCCAAAAGGGTAGGTTATTTTTTTATGTCTCGAATTTGTGTGGATATACTTTTGCAAGTACTTTCATAAGTCCGTACCCTTAACCTTTAGCGAACATTGTCTTATGTTACGTTATGAAAGCAGTGTTGGTTATACGTTAAGTTAAGTTAAGGATCCCTGTTCAAAAGGAGAGGGACTTGACCCTTGGTCTAGGAGAGCCTGCAGAAAGGAAAGGGATAAAATAATAGATCAAGGGGTTCTATTCAACAGATCTCATTTCCAAGTTTGCATGAATTCAATTACGGATTATTTTGATTTGCAGCTGTATCAAATGATCAAACTTGGCTAAATTTACTTGCATTTCAGATAAAGACCAAAGAAACCAGTTGTGCTTGTAGAATTCTGTTCCTCTCATTCTCTTACCCGTCCTAAATAGCCAAACTGGGTGAAATTCACTTGCGTTCCAGATAAGATTCTTTATACAGAAAAGATCAGATAAGATCCTTTGAATAGGTCCCCTCGAAATGAAGACGACACAAGATGAACTCGGCGGAAATGACAAGTAGCCGCCATACACGGAGAACGGGTTGCGACAGGGCTGGGGGCTTTCGGGCGAAGACAGGAAGCTGCGATTCGGTCCGCGGTGTGAGGCTGGGCCCTGCCTGGCGGGACGAGGGGGCGCTGCGCGTGGACAAGCTGTCCAGGGAGTCCTAGGGCGGCTGGCTGCGGCTGGCGGTGGCGCGGCCGCACTGTAGGCCCTGATGGCGGTTTAGCGTGCGCCCGGCCGCCAGGGCTGCCGCGGCCGAATCATCTACCTTCACTTGAACACACAATGGCCACAAAAAGCAGCGCGAGGCCTCATGATGAAACACTTGTACGAATAAGAATGGCCCCAGCCGATTATGAAGAGGAAGCGGCGAGATGGCACCGCGGCGGGGCGGGGCGGGGCGGGGCGGGGCGCGGGGTAAGACCGTTAAATCGACCGTGAAAATGTAGGGTTGCGTGGGGCCGGGTCGGGCCGGGTCGGGCCGGGCCGGCCGGGACTTCTCGGCGCTTCCTTGCAGTGATGGACGGCAAACTCGGTTATTACTGCCGATAATCCGCGCGGCCGGTGTCCGCAGAACGGCACGGTATTCGCACGCCACGCAGTCTCGCTTCAAGCTGTCCGAATGACAAGACTGGGTCTGCGGAGCGGGCCAAAGGACACAACACTAGCACGCCATATGCGCTCCACAGTCTTCAAGTAGGGGGCGAATCATTCCTTTTTCGAACGATATGTACTGCCATTTGTGCGGTTCGAGTCGTAGCACTGTGCTTACCTAAACAGGAGGTAAACATGAGAAGCCCTGCGACCTCTTCGCTGGTGGATGAGGCCGTCGTTGGTCCTCCAGGCACTCGGTGGGTTCGCGAGGCCACAGACTGACACTGGCGCTCTGCAGACGATTGGCGCCGGGCGCCCTGCGCCGCCTTGCGCCCTTACTGCAGACAAACTGCCAATTTGCACCCAAATCGGCGGGGCGTCCCCCCCCCCCCCCCCGAGCGAGTGTCGCCAAGCCTCATTTCCCGCGCTCAGCCCTTCCCCCGCGGCAGCCCCAGCCCAGTCGCTCTGTCTCTCTCGCACCGCTACGGGACGCCCCATGAGTGCGAGAGAGACGGAGCGACGAAACGGCTGCACGGAATCAGCCTGCAGGCCGAGCGGGCAGGCCCACAGTGTGGCGAGCGCCGCGAAAAATTGTGGCACTTTCTTGGCCGCGAATGGACGGCTCGACTGGGCCGGGGCGGCGTGGCGTGGCGCGGCGTGGCGCCGAGTCCCTGGGGATCCCCGACCGCTCCTGGGGGCCGAAAATTTGTCGCGCGATTTTTACTGACAGGACCCGCTGCGCCCGCTGCGCTGTGCTGGTGGCATTGCGTGCGTCTGGTACGCTTTAAGTCAACAGCACCCACGCGGCCCTTACCTCCCCCCTCCCCTCCGCGCGAGGCAGCTCAGGGCTCCGAAATCGAATTAACTCTCTTGTTAAGAGAGCTGTTTTCATTTGTCACATTACTTTTCCCCGACGGCCTGCCTCTGTTCTTTCTGGATTAACAAAACGAATCAACTCTGATGAGTCCCATTCCTAGAAGGGGAAAAAATACTCCTTCATCAATGACGGTTTTTTTCCATCGCCTTTCTTCGATGCGGGGGATATAACTGCCTTTACACAAATCCTGCAAGATTCTTCCGTTCGTCTTGACCAACGACGCCGAAAAAAGAAGAGACTCTTGGCATTGAGAGACGGTATTGCGAGTCAATTTAATAAAGTAACAGAGAGAAAAAAACGTGAATAAAATACAGTATGGCTGGAAAACGCACCTTGGGCTTCACAGGAAAAAATTCTCCTAATACGAATGAAGGAATTGTAATACTTACTGCAGAGAAATGATTTGAAAGGGTTTAAATCATATGATGAACCTCTGTTGAGCAGGTCAATTAAAACATACATAAATAGCATTTCCGGTGATATTTGTATCGATAGGAAAAATGGATTGGTCAACTGGGGTACTATAGGACAAGGCCAGCTGACCCACCCCGATTGATTTCCTGTTGTCTCTGGACCAACTTTTGGGCGGGACGGTACCGGAGATGTCACGCATGTGGCTGTACAGACGCGCGGTATCCCGCGCCCGACGACACCTGATACTGCCGTGCCATGGCGTGGCGTGCCGTGGCGTGCCGTGGCGTGCCGTGCCCCCCGCGGGGACAACAGCCGTGTCGCGGCGTGCGTGACACGCGTGCATCGCCGAACAGACAAATTCATCCGACGAAGAGACAAATGAAGAGGCCGCTCTCCCAGTTCTAGGCGACACATCACACCCAGGTGTTGCTCGGAAGGAGCGGATCTAACGACGCTGCTATTTTGCATCGCATTCCACACGACCGGAGAAATGTCGGAGCAGCAGGCAGCGTCGCACAGTGGGCCAGAAGGCCGGTGGAGTGGAGGCGGCCGAAACTCTAGACGCGTTTTGAGCTCCAGAGTCGCTAAATGGGACTCGAACCGAACGTGTGACCCCACCAATGGATAGCTCTCCGTACGAGGAATCTATTGGTGGGGTCACACGTTCGGTTCGAGTCTTGTTTAGCGACTCTGGAGCTCAAAACGCGTCTATAATCTTGACCGCCACCACCGCGGTCTTCTGGCCCACTGTAAGTCGGTGATGACGTCAGAGGCGTGCCAACCGTGTGATCCCGCTCGCAAGTCTAAACAAATCGGATGGAGCACGCCTCCTTGTGTGAGCTGACACGCGTCGAACCATCAATAAATATCACAACTGGCCACCCGGCCCCGCCCCGCCCGCCTCGCCGGGGCTGATCGCTCCATACTTGCCCCGGCTATTAATAAAGGGCGAGGTGTCTTCTCCAGCACCGCCGGCACACCGCTCCACTCCAGCACTCTCCACGCAGCGCACCTGGACAATTGGCTGTTGTTCGTGTTTTGACTTTCTCCGCCGAATGCACGAATGAGCGACGAATCGGGCGACAGACGCGTTGTCGCCACTGTTAAACCCTCGGCCGGCGATCCGCCAACGCCAACATTCCTCCGCCCTGCTGCGCTCGCTGCGCTGCACCCTAGTCGCTCCTAGTGCCTCTAGTGGAGGAGTCCCCCGGTCACGTCCCAGAGTCCGAGGCCGTCATATGACGCCCCTCCCCCCTCCCCCTCCCCCGCAGAGGTCGCGTCCCGCAGTGTCCACTCTCCACTTATTATGTTTCCCCCTCCACGCCCGGGCGACGCCTTTTATTTGAGATTGATTCTCCTCCGGTCGCCGCCTGCTCCCCCCCCCTTCCCCCTCTCCACACTTGTTCTCCGGCACGTCGCCATACATACACGATGCGGCCGTTGCCTGTAATATAACTACTGCTGCCGAGCGATCCAGAAGAGTCGTTCTCGTCGCTCTGTCTCTGTCGCACTCGCGGGGCTCTTCGTAAGGGTGCGAGAGAGACAGAGCGACGAACCGACCTCCTGAATCGCTCGGCTGTCCGGAGCAGCGGGGCGGCGCTTACATGGCCTCCTCTGGCGCTCGTTGCGAAGGCCCGTCCACGAAACTAAGCGACAATGCATAGCCCGGCGCGAATGGCAACTTGAACTTACATGAGAAGGTTAGGATTTACAGGTTCCAATCAAAGGCAGTTAGCAAAAACAAAAAACGCAACACAAGAAAAATTACACAAAAACACCGTTATCTGATAATACGAATGATAGTTTAACTGGTTTCAGTCAACCACTGAAAAGTCCACGCTCTGGTGGAAACGAAAATCCAGACTTCCGCGTCACCCAAAAGTATCGATTTATCGTTTTCAAACAGACGGTTCGAACTTGGCGCGCGAACGCCGACTGTCAACTGTCGCCCGGCCGCAGCGCCACCGAAGTCGCGCGGTCAAAATTCGAGTCGGCGCGGCGCGACGTGCGTGTTTACGTTTCGAAACGTGTTTAGTGAGAGGATCTCGGCTTGCTGTGTCGACGCAGCTTCACATTGCTCTGCACATTTGCTCAGCTGAAGCGGACGTCTGGGCGTGCGTGGATCTACATGTCAAGACCATTTTGCATCGATTTGAAGTCAGCAGGTGAGTGGAAACGGCCGCCGGCCGAAACATAACCTCAACTCCAAGCGGCCAGCGCCGCTACGGGTAGTTTCTTGATTCCCACTTCCCACTTCTAAACTGTGTAAGTTAGAGGGGTATGGTAAGCGAGCCGATTGTAGTTTAACCCGAGATCTACAATCGGCTCACTTACTATACCCATCTAATTTCAACGGTTTGGGAGCTCTGACCAAAATACCGTCCCGAGCGACGGCAGCCGGGCTGCGTCTGCCGCGAGTCGTTTCGGACGCCGCTGTCGCAAACCGGAGATCAGCCTTCGGTTTTGAGTGTCGGAGAGTTGGTTGAAAGGGCGAGTCTCCGAAATCGAATCGCGCGACTCAGAATACACGGTTTTTGTCTACCGCGACATATTTTCCAAATAATGATTAGCATCGTAAAAGTACTTGAGAGAGGAGTGCATTCAAAGATTCATACGACGCGTCAAACCGTTGTCTCTGTCAGAACGCAAGGGCGGAATGTGGAGTCACTGTTCAGATTGAAACCAACTGCCCAAGAGCATATCTGCCGCCCTCGTGCATTTGCCCGCTAAGAGCATTTTGCTGTGTAGTGCTGCGTGCGCAGTGCAGCATGGCGCCTGGCGGGTAGGCAACCATAGTGCGCGCGTGCGTGGCGTATGCCTTGAGTGCCTACCTGCCGGGGGCTCTTGCCTGACAGGTAGGCAATCACAGTGCACGCGTGCGCGGTGTGAACTTCGGCTGCCTACCTGCCGCCGGGGGCTCGGCGCTGTTCGCAGTGCTGCGAGGGGCGTCATCGGCGTGGCTGTTTTCCTCGGCCTGACCGCGAGCCGGGCAAGGAAAGGAGCTGACAGGCCTGGGCGCCGGCAAGATGCATGGCGATGCACTACTTGGTGAGGCCGGGCGTCCGCTCCGTTCGAATGCGACCCCTCCTCCGCTCTGTCTCTCTCGCTCGCGCGGCGCCCTCCGCGAGGGTGCGAGTGAGACAGAGCGACGTTCGGAAGCGGACTCGGGGGCCGTGCGGCGCACATGCGGCAGCAGACTGATGCCGAGAGTCTCGTCGCTTTGTCTCACTCGCACTCATGGGGCGTTCTTATGGGCGCGGGAGAGACAGAGCGACGAAAACGACTCTCGGAATCGGTCTGCAGGCCGACGGTGGGCCGAGTGGGTCGGCCGGCCAGATGGGGTGCTGCATCGCTGCGGCGATAGCGGCCGATAGTGGAGTGATTGAAGGCGTGAGAGAGAGAGCGAGATCCGGACTGGGCCGCCTAGGCCTAGGCCTCGTCAAGCCCGGGGCAGCGAGCGAGCCTCCCACGCCCAGGAGTTATAGCAGAAGCCGCGAGCCGAGCCGAGCCGAGCCGAGCCTGCGGTTGGAAGAGACCGCCAAGTGCTCGTCTCGGAGTGCAAGCGCCCCGCAACGCGCGCCGGCCGCGCTCGCTCCTCGGGGAACACCAGTAGTTGTAGTACAAACCGACTTGCGGTCGCCGGCGCCCTGGTGGGGCCCTGGTGGGCGGGGGGAGGGTGGTCGAGGGGGGGGGGGGACATGTGTTTGAAGGCTTTGTAGTGCGTCCTGCCGTACGCGGGAAAGCCTCTGGAAACTCTCCTCGAGGAACACGGAACACGACGCCGAGCCGGGCGAGCCGCGCAGCGCAGCGCGTGTGCCGGTCGGGGATTAATGGTCAACATCGTCCGGGCCGCGCCGTTTCGGCTCTGTGTGCGTCTGTCTGTCTGTCTGTCTGTCTGTCTGTCTGTCTGTCTGTCTGTCTGTCTGTCTGTCTGTCTGTCCGTCCGTCCGTCCGTCCGTGCACCCGCCTTTCGCTTTCCGTGGACCGTTGGCCGCGGGCGTGAGGTGAGGTGGCGAGGTCTTGAGTCGCGCGCGGGTCGCGGGGGCGCGGAGGGTGGCGGCGGAGGGGCGCGGGGCGGAAGGCTCATTTGTCTTGGTTCCTGTGTCCTGGCGGCCCGGCGGCCTGGCGCTGACACCATATTAAAATGGTGCCGGAGGAGCCCAGCGCTCCCAGCGCGACGCGTGTGGCGAGGGGGAGGGGTGGGGGAAGACGCTGTAAAGATAGCGATTGATTCCCCGCTGGTCCTTCCCTTGCCTTCCCTTCGCCGTTCTTGGCCGCCGCTTCGCCGCTTTATGGCCTCTCCCCGGCAGTCGGCGGGGCGGCGCGAGGGTTGAGGAGGTCGCCGCCGTCGTGCCGCCGCGTCGCGCCCCGTCGGCTCGCCCCCCGAGCCTTGTAGTGTAGCAGCGCTTTGCCGCGACGCGGGGGCAGTTCGGGGAGCAGCTCAGCGCTCAGTGCCGCCGGACTGTCAGAAGGAGCGCCAATTGCATTGTTTCCTTAAAGGTGCCTCTGATGATGCTGATGAACCAGAGTTGAAAGGGTTGCCAACCTCAGCCTGCCTGCTGGCCAAAGCGTAATCTTCTGGAGCGATCGCTCGATAACGTTAGCCTATTAGCCCAGGATAACGTTGGCAACCCTTTGGACACTTTTGCATCGTGAATACAATTTGTGTCTTCTTTTGTGGCAAAACTGAATGGCATGATGGGCCTAGGCAGACCCTTATCGGTGTGGGACTGCCTGAGTACCTTGTTCCCCGTCCTCGACGTCGTCGCGGTGGCTCGCCTGGGTGGTTCCGCTCTCTGCTGCGTGCCCTGTGCGCTGCCTGCACCTTTACGGCCCGGGCGTCATGGCAGTGCAGTGCCGCTCCGGCTTCGGAACGGCATTATTTGATTCGCGCGTGACAGAGAGAGCGCAGCGCGGCGGCGGCAAAAAGGGGAGTAAGCACTTTGCTTTAATTTGGAGCCGTCTCTGGCGCGGCGGGGCGCGGCGGGGCACCATGCTGCCGGCCAGCCTGCGCGTGTTTTTGCACCACGCCCCCGTGTGGCGGCCCCGGCGGCAGCCCCGGCCAGGCCCAGGACCGGCGGCAGTGCGTCCGGAGCACCCCGTCGTGACCGTCGTGACCCACCCCCGGCGCGGTCGCTGCAGGGGACGGCGGCGCGCGCCACGTCCACTATATAGGTTTAGTTCGGTGGCCATCCGGGGCCGGGAGTTATTGCCAGTGTGTGCACTAGGGGCTTCGGGCTCCGCGTCGACGGGGGCGTGGCGGCCTCGGTGGAGGCCTCGGTGGCGGCCTCGGTGGCGGCCTCGGTGGCGGCCTCGGTGGCGGCCTCGGTGGCGGCCTCGGTGGCGGCCTCGGTGGCGGCCTCGGTGGCGGCCTCGGTGGCGGCCTCGGTGGCGGCCTCGGTGGCGGCCTCGGTTGCGGCCTCGGTGGCGGCCTCGGTGGCGGCCTCGGTCTTCACACGAATCAATCCGACCAGTCGACCGGCGTGGCTCCGTCCGTGGCCGACGCGGAGGTCGTGGTCGTGGTGGACGTCCGCGTCTTGTCCGCCGCGCTGTCCGGAGGGGGTGGCGTTACACGTGCGGTTATGAATACGGAATGAGGTGGTTCGGCGCGCGCCACAAAAACATACATTTCGTGTCGTGCGGCTCGCAGCGGCACGGCGCGGTGCGTCCGAGTCGAGGCCGTGCCGTTGCGCGCCCTGCCGCCTGCCTCGGCCTCGGCCAACGCGGGGGGCCGCCCACCAGGCCGCCGCCGAGGCCGGAATGAGGAAACTAATCAGGCAACAACAATACTGAATGATTTTAAACGCGGATTTTAACTGCTTTCTTGCGTCCGTATGAATGTCCAGTCTTAGAACGTTTGTTGTTACCGAATAATTGAATATTATTTGGCTCCGGGAGTTCCTCACTGCGGCACTGAATCCGCACCCCAGCGGGTCCCCTCCTCCCCCCCCCCCCACACACACACACACTCACTATTGGCAGTGGCAGGGTGTCGCGCGACGCCGGTTTTTTCCGACCTGCGTTGTATAAAAACGGGTCGCACACGCCGCAGCGCCGCAGCCCCCCGAAGAGGCGTGCCGTGAGGCGTGCCTTACACGCTCCGATCTAAATGAGCCAATTAGGCCCCGCGAGGCTTGGAGGACGAGGACGCCGAGGAGGACGCCGTGGAGGCCCAGGTGACGTACCGCTGCGTACCGCACCGCCACCAGCAGGTTGCTTCCGGACAGTGCCGTCGACGCTCGGTCTCGCTCGCACCTGCACGGGGCGCCCCATGAGTGCGAGAGAGACAGGGCGGCGAAAGCGCCGTTCGGAATCAGGCTGCAGCGCGGCGCCTCCCGGCGCCACACCGTCACCCCGGCCCGTGAGGTTGATGACCAGAACCCGCGCGCAAAACGACAAAATTGAAATTCGGAAGCTCCTGTTTCGACGTCGTTTTCGTTTGAATTGTTTGAATTCGGGTATGTTGATGAAGCATTTCTTGGTCGTGGCGCTTGTGGAGTTTGAAATGCGCCGGCCCTCTCCTCTGTTCCTCCCCGAGACGCCGACTAATTTCGGGGAAAAGTGGGCGAAATGCGACGCTGCCCGGCGTTCGCGGGAGTGAGACATTCCTGAGTGTCGCTGTGCGCGCGGGAAGCAAGAGGGAGACGAGAGACTCCGGGGCCCGAAGTGGCGGCGGCAGGGAGGTGCTCGATCCCCGGCGCCCCGGCGTCTAGGTCGCGGTGGACGGGCCTCGGTGGAGATGGGCCAATCAACGAGTCGGGCGGCGAATCACCGCCAGAGAGAGGGGGGAGGGGACATGGTGGAAACAGTACAGTACTTTTGCGACTTTTGCCTCGACTTTGGGTCCTCACTCTTGAGCGGCGGGGTGGCCGGCTCAGCCAAGAAAATTAGACACCGGGCTGCCTGCTCCAGTATTCGAACCCGGGACGTTCGCCGCCCAAGGCGAGGCCGCGTCGGTCGGTCCGGCCGAGAGTCTCAAGGTGGAGCAATAAAGCATCTGCAGTCCGGTCCTCTCCTCGGCCAGGACGGCCTGCCCTCGGCGGCTCGGCCTGCTGCTGGGACTGCTTGGCCACGGCGGCAGCGCGCCTTGCGACACTTGCCACCGCGCGGCACCGCGGCACCGCCTCAAAGGGCGGCTTTAGCGCGCTCCGCCGCAAATGTTATC